GGGCTTCCGAGGTGAGCGGTATCTCACCAAGTTGGTATCAGAGCAAGGTTGTAGACCAGCTATGCCGCAGACAAGATCCTCTACCATGGAAGACAGAGTCGASCAACTTGAGATTGGGTTCCACCAAGTACTGAACGAACTCAGGGATCTCAAGGTGGTCATCTCTAACCTCGCCTCCCAACAACAGTCCGGCGAGACCAGTCAGCCAACAGAGGCCGACGCCTCTGTTTCTGGAAGCCAGGGAACTGGGGGTTACCCCGCCAGAAAGGTTACTAAAATCAATTTTCCCAACTATTCCGGTGRAGATCCCATTCCTTGGATCTTCAGAGCAGAGAGATTCTTCGAGTACCATGAAACCCCTGCACACCAGTGTGTCGCCATCGCCTCCATTCACCTTGAAGGAGACGCTATTCTCTGGCTTCAGTTGTATCGACAAACCCATCCTCAGGTAGCTTGGGCGGAGTTCACGGAAGCTCTGTGCATCTGTTTTGGGTCGACGGTGTTCGTGGATTATGACAAACTCCTCACTCGATTAAAATAGACGGGGACAGTAGCAAACTACCAGCTCGAGTTCAAAAGAATGGCGACCAGAGTACACGGATGGCCGGAGAAGGCCTTGGTTGGGTGTTTTGTGAGAGATCTCAAAGAAGACATCCTCCTGGAAGTGAGAGCTCTTCGACTAGCGACAGTCATGGCGGCGGTGGGCATGGCTCGCTTGCAAGAAGAGAAGATTGATAGCATGCGCAGGACTAGCAAGCCATCCTATCCGAATGTGAGGGCTCTCCAGCGAGCCGAACAGCAACCCCAAAAACAAGTTGGGGATCCTCAGAAGCCCATTTTGCCCAGGCCCACTATGCCTTTCAAGCGCCTCTCGTGGACTGAGATGCAGGCTCGACACGAGAAGGGCCTCTGTTACAACTGTGATGATAAGTTTGGGCCGGGCCATAAGTGCCGGGTCCAGCGAGTATTTCTCCTTCAAACAGAGGGAGAACCGGAGGGGACAGAACCAGAGCACCTCGAAGACTGTGAGCTGATATCAGGCGAACCAAAACCGGTTGGAGCCGAGATCTCTCTACACACTCTCATGGGCCTCAACCCTCTTCAGTCCATGCSAGTAGAAGGAAGATTGGGTGGCCGATCTGTGATGGTTTTGATTGACAGTGGCTCTACTTTGAATTTCATCACTTGCCGTTTGGCAAAGCAACTAGGTATGACTATACACCCCACTCCTCTCTTTTCAAT